CTGAATGTCAAGGTCATTTGAACAACTTCAGAAACGTATAGAGAATAGCATCATGCTGTATGAGTAACACATCCAACAGACTGTCTTGCAAGAAGCTAAATTTCACTAATAAAGTGAAGACAGGGACAACTTAGATCTTCAACACAGCCATAGATTCCTAAAAAAAAAAAAAAATTTAGCAGATTCTAAACAAAAAAACCCCAAAGCTGCCAATTAGAAAAAAGAAAAAAAGTTCCTCTGGGCAGGGAGGGGTCTACGAAAACATTTATTGCTATGCCCAGCCCCTTTCCATCACTCTTACAGCTATATACTCACAGACCCACTTGGGCCTATCAAGACAGGAGCCTGTGCAGAGCAAAGCTCTAGAAAGAAACTCTCCATTCCCTTGGTCTCCTTTAGGAATTTAGAATCCCTTAGAAACTCTCCAGTCCCTTGATCTTGCATGTCAAAACATGGTGCACAAGCTGGGCTTGCTTTGGATGGGCCTAATTCTACAGAAGCAACTCATCATTCCATATCACACAAATACTCTTTAAAAAAATAATAAAAAATTCAGAGCCAGAAACTACATCCAAAAGCAGCAGAAATGCAGGCACCCTGTATTAACAGAGCCAATAATAACATACCACACCAGAAGGGAAAAAGAGCCTTCTTATCAGAGGCCTCTGCTGAGCCCATTAGCCACCAAAGACACACTGCAACATCCTTTCAACACAAGTTTTGTCTGCAACTTCTGCCTTTGCCCGCTTAGTGAAACGACAGCTACTGGTGTTCCAAGATTGATTTTACCTCCCCATGTCAGTCACCAATAGCGACACCAAATCACCAGCACTAGTTACGGCTTTGGCACCTGCAGCCAACAGCCAGCCACAAGGCTTTTCAGGTAGGTTTGGTACCAGATTCACCATTGAAAAAAAGATTCACTGTTGAAAGCGCAGTTTCAGTCTAGTAACACGCAAGAAGGTACACCCCCAGCTCTCCATCTTGCTTTCCCGCTTCCATCGCAGGTCTTGCACACACTAGCATCACACCTTCTCTGTGAGGGCAGCCCTGCAGACTACCAGTTAATGCTGTGAGGCAGCAGATTTCCCACAAAAACTGGCAGAAACATGCTCTGAGCTTCAGCAAAGCTTTGAAGTCACCGGGCAGGGACTACCTAGCTGAAACGGTGATGGCCACTCTCCTGACAACTGCTACACCAATGTCTAGCCTTCACAGCAGCAGAACATTCACATGTTAAGCCCCAGTTTTCTTATCCCAAAAGGAAGAAAGCCAGTTATTGTATAAAATGGGAATGCTGATGCACCTCATAGCCACAGGTTTGCATATTTATCACAAAGGCAAGACCAGTATTTCAGACTGGGCAGAAGAACAAGGAAGGAACATGTTGCCAGAGAGCAACTTTCAAGAGCCCTGCTCTTCCCACACAGCCCCAGGTTTCCAGTAGGCACTGCCATCATCAGAGATCTCCTTCAGACCATTATTAATTATCTGCCATATTATTGCAATTCAGCATCTGCTGAAATTCAAGGCCAAAATTATGTCACACTAGTCTGCCTCAACCCCCAAGGAGATGGAAGCAGCACCTTTGCCATATAAGAATTAGCAGGAGCATACTCTTAAACATAACAGAAATTTGGGATAGTTCCTTAACAGCCTTCAAACGGAAGCCTGTGCTTCCTCCGAAGGCTATGCAATGCGAGCAAGGAAAAAACCCACACTTTGCAGAAGTGGTTTGTGAAGTGAAATCAAGCTGCCTCTGCTCCAACTTCTAGCCACATGTAAAGACGAATTTATCTGCTACAATGCTCACAAAAAGAGGAAATCAGAGTCAAGAAAAGCAAAACCACGCAGAGACCTCTCCAGAGCCTGTGTGAAACACACCAGAAACACACACCTTAAGGCAGGTCTGAAAGAGTAGGCAGAGTATCACCTCTTTCCTTCAGAACAGTATTGAATCCCAGAATCAAAAGGTTTCCCAAAACTAAAATATTCTGATTCATAACGATGCCAGGGTAATCCCTCAGAACTGTGGTCTGGATGCCTTTTGCCCCCATCTTCCTGGGACACACCACCGCTAGGGACAGCAATGACATGCCTGCTCCTTCCAGTGGCAAAAAGCAGTGCCCCATGGACAGCCTCTTCTGGGAAGATCCCAGCCTCCAGGAGAGACAGGAGCATAGGGCACAAAGGGCAGTCTCCATGAAACTGCTGCACTATTTTTAAGTGAAAAGCAAACTCCCAAACCTTATTTTTCTAACAAATTCTGCAAAATGTTTTTCAGTATTTTTTCCCCCCTCTTTAGGCCAGATAGTTAGGACATTCAAATCTGGCGTGCCTTGAACTGAATCAGAAATCGTCAGCTAGAAAATGAACATGCTAATTTTTCATGATCAAAAGTGGGCATTTAATAAATTATTGACACTGTGCACCCATCCTGCAAGAAGCGATTACTCTTCTGACCACACAGGATAACCCTGGGATCACAGAGTTCAGCCCAAGGATGGGAACTAGCCTTCTGGTTTTGTCTCAAAATAGCATCATCATCCCAGAATATATTTCAGGGAAGGCAGGAACAGAGTTATGCTTTCTGCTCTGAAGTGCAGAAAAGGGAAGGACACAGAAAAGAAAGCTCATATATCAGCAGAATGGATAAAACTACCCTTGATCTGCTGCCATTTGCTAATATTTACAAGAGAAGCGGGGTGGAGCTATTTTGGTTCAGGCTCAGCGTGGCAAGTGTTCATTGCACCTGAAGGTGCTGACAAGCACAACTTGTCGGTAGAGCCAGATTCAAACAGTTCCATTTTAATCCTCCAGTGATATTTTGATTCTCCAGGCTACTTCTAATAGGATTTTTCCAGATTTTCCCAGACTGTTTGCCTCCAACAACAGCCCAGAGAACATTACTCCGTCTGATTCTCTGAACAGTGAACATTATTAATTATTGACCAAGAAAACTGAACAAACAGCTTCACCCCAGAGTCCAGATTACAACTCAGGCCCCTTTGATCAACTTCATAAACCCTGCTTCTAGGAGATGAGGCACCAGCAAGTCTCAGAACTGTGGCAGCATACCCACTATCTGGAGCTGTGCTACTAGCTCTTCCTTACCAAAGAAAGGCATTGCACCACAGTCTGTGTGGGGGACCAGCACATGCTTTCAGATAAATCAGCTACTGGTAAAAATGGGCCAGGAGCAGCCAGCAACAGAAGCTTCTCTGAGCTGCTTCTGCACTATACAGAGACATGACAGGGACAGAGAGCTCACTAGAAGCACAAATTTAAACCACGACGGAAAAGATCTCTTTCAGAATGCAGGCACACCTCCCAGTCAGCCATCATACCACCCTGAAATCCTTTCAGGAAGTTAGACAATTCTTCATTTGCTATCCTAGTCAACATGTCAAATGGCTGCATTCCAACAGCCACTGAGACACACCTCCACTGGAATGATACTCCATTCAGAGAGCTTGTAAAAAAAAAATAATAAAAATCATATTATCTTGGAACAGAAATCCCACAGAAAGACTGGTGCTTACGTCAGGAGGCAGCACACAAAGTATATGCTTGGTTTGGGCTGACGTTCCAGTCTTATCAATGTCTCTGATCTCAAGGCTCTACTAAGCACTTTGTCTGAAGTGAGCAACAGTATAATTTAACTCACCAGCTGCCAGAGTCCAGAAACACCAGTTACTTCTGCCACTCACATTCCAAATATTCTAGCTATTATCACTGAAATGGTGGAGTCCACACATCTGACCCTTCCCTGTTTCAGCAGTGGGAAGACAAGGGTACAGACCTCTAAAAACTCCAGTCCTGAACCTCCAGCCAGAAAAGAAGGTAAGTAACACATCTGCAAATGAAAGCACTTCTGGCAAATCTACAAGACATAATGGCCCAAATGCCAACACCTGGCCTGTCAACCTGAGCAGCCAGAGGCACACAGGAGACAAAGGACAACAAAGCTTTGAGTTTGCCATTATCATTTTGTTCCCCAAAAGATGTAACATGAGAGGTTAGGGGAAAGAAAGCTCATTCTAGAAGGCAACCCAGCAAAGAGTCATGTCAGGACAACTCTTACCAAGGTGAGTGCCTGAGAATCTTCCCTTTGTGGTCAAACCCTGCTGCAGAACAACCCTGCATTAGGAGGACTCCAGTTTGTGCCTCTGCTTCGCTGCAAATTCACATGTGGGGCAGGGACCAAGGTACAGAGAAATGGCAACAGGAGGGGTAGGAGGAGGCTACAGATAATGAAGGAGGAAGTGTGAATCAAGTCACAAAAGGCTGAAGAGGTGCTTTTTTTTTTTTTTTTAAAGCAAGGAACTCAAGACAAACTGGGATGACCCTTCCCTCAGACTTACCACAGCAACCTAAAAACTACCCCCAAAACCCTTTCTTGTGGAGATCCCAGCAGTAAATCACCATGTGTTAGTGTCATTAAAATAATATGGATAAGACAACCACACAGAGAAAATATGAATGCTTGTGACCCTAAATGATCAGATCTTTCCTTGCAGTGGGCCATGGACCTATTCCCCCTATTTCAGATTTATGTAAATGCTGTTTCTGGGCAGGGTGAAGCTCTGGCCATTCAGATAGAAGAGAGCTGGCAGACCTACTGTGGATTACTCAGTTGAGGACCTTGCAGCTGCACTGCATAACTAGGTAATTTCTGTGGCATTATCATGCAAAAACAACATCTTGTGCTCAGGATATAGTCAAGGGCTACATCTAAAACAATTCAGGAAAAGCAACCAAGTCCTGCAAATATAATCAAGACAGTAAGGGCCAAGAAGGAATGCAAGTTTAACCGAGGTCAATGGAAAATTACACATATCGCAAACATTCAAGAAGTTTGGTGCTCCTTCTCTTTATGATGCCAGCTGTCATTGCCACTTGGGCTTGGCATACAGCAGATGCCCCCACAACCCCATTAGAAAGACGCTTCCTCAGCCCAGCTGCAAAGACATTAAAGGAGAAAAGAGAAAGACCACTACCTGCTACTTCCACAATGTGGTGCCTGGCGATATCATAGTAGGGATCATCCCACTGCAGGTGAGTGACAGGCTCAGGGGAGCCTTTGGAGTCCTCTGCACAAAACACAAGGAACGAGCAATTAGAAGAAAGGTACCCCTCACCTTGGCGAGGGGTACAATAGAGATAGAGGGATGAGAAAAAATGGCTTTTCAGTATGGGAGGGACTAATGCACCTGTCCACCTTGGAAACCCACCTTTGAAATTCTGAGTGGACAAAAGCAGCAATGACTTCAGAAGAGACCTGTCAAGCCTATGAGGTCCATGTGTGTCCCTCAGACTGTACACCCTCTCAAAAATGACTGTTCGGTTATGTCACAAACATTCACAAAGACCAAAACCCAAGTGCCAAGGACACCATCGTGGCTTTTTAGAGCAGGAGGTTCTTAACATTGTCCCTTGATGGATGGTCATCCTATATGCCCTCAAGCTAATTTCCCTGACCTCTTTTGGGCAGCAGTCCATAGCACAGGATTTCAGAGCAACAACTCATATCTCCAGCCCCATCTCCCACATGGAAGTTCAAGACCCTTCCACTCAGGAAGGCCAAACTATCCTGCAAGAGATCATAATAGAGGACACTCAAGGACTTACAGCATGTCTGTACTGTCAGCACCAAAGTGCAGCCTGAGACAGGACTGAGAAGAGTATATTTACATCAGCTGGCTCTGAGCTTTTTAGTGCTGTTCAATGGCAGGGCTAATTCACTTGGGTGTGGTGCAAGATTAATGTGTCTATAAAGCTTTCAAATGGAGATGGGGCTCTCTGTATATGTAGATATGACCACAAAGCTGCAAGACAAACAATTGCTTTTTGGCCAAAACCCAGACCCCAAACATGCAGGATACTTACCTGATTTGGGAAAAGCAGGGGCTTCATCTGCAGGCCAGCTCTTATCATCTATGGAGGCCAGTTTGAGCTGGCCGAGGGACTGATCGGTATCCAAGTTCAGGTCATCCTGAAGCTCCGAGAGTGGGTCTGTAGCCATGGTCCCCAAATACCGCAGTTTATTTTGCGGCGTCTAGAATGAGAACTGCAGATTGCTAGGTGAGACACAGAGATCACAAGTTTACCTCCCCATAGATTTTCCCCAAATCCTCCCTTATCTTTACTTATCCAGAGATCACACTTCTCCTCCCCCTTAACACAGGCAGGAACTCCTCCTCCTCCTCCAAGCCAGGAGCACCACATATGTCAGATTCTTTCTTTCATGTTAATTGCTATCAAAAGGCCATCAGGCGCCCATACCAATCCTCTCAGCGAGTCTCTGCTTCACCACAGCTCTGTACAGAGCAGTTTCTCTCCTGAAGCAGGAGCAGCAGCAAGACGTTGAGGAAGGCGACAGGCTACACCAGCCCCTGCCTGATACACTCGCTGTACCAGCTCCGAGCTCGCCCTCTCTCCGAAGGGCTGGCACAAAGCCCAGCTGTTTCCACAGTTGGCCCAGTGCTGGAAGCTTTCCCAGGAATCACACACCCCCCACCCTTCTCCCCATAAGGGAGGGCCAGAGCTCTCAATGACACTGAAGTGGGTGCTTCAGCGTGCTGGGATCTGAACACAGAAGTGAACAGCTTCTTAAAACAGGATTCTGTAGGCTGAGCTAGTAAGACAAGCAGAACAATACACATACAACCCTCATCTCTTTTCAGCATCACCCAGCAAATCCTTTCTCCTACATGAGAGCAAGCAGCAAGGAACCATCTCTTTAATTTAAAACCATATTGCTAGACTGATAATTTTTCACCAAGCACGCCATAATACTGAGGATACCAAGGAATTAAGAGGGTCCAGGAAACAGACAGCTCAGTGTGTTTGCTGTTGCTTGCAAATATTTCTCCTCTCTCACCTGGAGCAGAAGGTATGTCAAACCCAGGACTGAGCTAGCACCGCATACAGCACCTCCTAAGGGTACCAATTCTTAGGGACAACCCCTAGGCAACAGCTGTTATCCTCTAATGCCAGTGTCCTGGAAATAAGCAAGGAAACACTAGAAAGGACAAGTATGGAGATCTGGATTGCTCACCCAGACCACACAGACCGTAATTCAGTAGCCAGCAGGCAGCAAGCCAAGAGGAACTGTAGCAAAACAAAGTGACACCTTGCATCAGCAAGACTCTCTGTAACGCTGTTTCTCAGACAGACTTGTGCTTGTTTTGCAGTACGAGGAGAGCAAAGGGTTCAAAGATTATCTGAGGAGGTACGATGCCTTTGTGTGGAAAGATTATATTTATCCAGAGAAGATGATGAAACAGTTACTCGGATGTGAGCACAGAGGACAAAAACTGTGAAAGACTGAGCATCGGAGGGCATCACATCCATGCTCAGGGCAACACTTGTGACCAAGTTTGGGGATGCATTTTGAGAGTACAGGAAATTGGGTATTCAGTGTTTGTCCTCTCCCTCTGGATCACTCCATGCCTACTACTTGCTGTCCTCCCTTAGCTGTTACCAGTTTACAACCAGTTTTCACCTCTCTGGGGCTCCTAAAGGGTTGGGAGCTGTTGCTAAGCAAATGAAATTAGATTCCCAAAATATGAAAGAGCAAGACGTATAAGGGCAGCGAATCAACCAAGACAGCATGGGAAACACACAAGTCTGACCACTACAGCCAACAGAGACCCAAGCAAAATCAATCCCTGCCCTCTGGTGAGGGCCACGAGAGCTGTCTAACCTCCTCTGATCTCAAAGGGACAAGGAGCAAGAAATCAGGTTCCCTTGCACCATGAGCTCATGCTGGAACCATGCAGCAGAGGAGCCAAGGGACAAGGACTCCCCACCCCTTGCAGCTGATCCGATTTCTATGGTAACACCAGGCACCAACTCCGATGACTCAGTGTGCTTCAAGCATTCCCCACTGCAGCTCAGCAGCCCCGCAACCCAGCAGCCCCACAACCCAGCACCCCACGCTGAGGAAGCATCCATGCCCCTTGCCCCTGGACAGCCCCTCAGCATTCCCAGCTCCCAGGGACTTCCCAGCCCTGGTGGGGACAGAGGACCTACGCTCAACTGCTGCGATCCACTCAGATGCCTTTCATGTGAGATTCTTGGGGATGCCCAGTAACAACAGTGTCCCCAAAGTGAGGTCCTGAAGTGCTTAGGGACCAAATCCAAATCTTCTCACAGAGCAGTCATGGTACTGCCATAGGGCCAGCAAGACACCAAGTGTCCTCATTTCATCCTACATGGATCACAGCTTGGCTTCACAGTCAGCTTGTGGCACTTGATCAGAGGCAGAAGTGCTGGTTATTAGACAGCACGGGGGGATTTCCCTTAGGCATAAAATTAATCCTAGTGTGGCACCACGTGGAAGAAGGAAGTCGTTAGTGGGATCCTTACAGTTCCACATAGGAAAAAGAGCCCAGTGAACAGTGCTCTTGCCTAAACTCTCCTTACCCCTTGACAAGGCAGACCAGACTCCCCAGATACCTCCATGGGCTTTTCACAGCCAGGCAGGCAGCTCCATTCCTTGGCTCTAGGTTAGTGCTCTATGGCAGAAATGTTAATGGAAGGAGGATCCATAGCAGAAGACATTTTAGATTTCAGGTCCTTCTTGTGAACCAGACTGTAGCTCCCAGAGAGCTCTAGCAGGCTTTTGCAGAATTTTCCCCAGCCCCTTCCCAAGAGAGCAAAAGACAAAAGCATGGGGTCTCACATCAGGTAACTCTAGAACAGTTTAGAGAAATATAATCCTCTAAATGCCTGGGAACCAGCAGGCACTGAGGAGAGACCTGGAGATAGGATGTAAGAAACTACTTGGGGATCTTAATATTAGGGTACACGTTTCATTTCCTGACAGTGCAGCTGCATGAGATTTTTCCCTGTGTAGTCAAAAATGACCCATAAGCAGGACCTGTCATTGAACAGAAAGTCCGTCCTGTATCAGTATAAGGGTGAAATGGTTGTCAAAACCCAGCACCTCGGCAGACATAACACACTTTAAGAACCCCACTTGTTTTAGATCAATGTCATGACAAGATGCAAGTGATGCACCCTGTAGAGCCAATCATAAGGTGAGAAAAATGACGTACCTAGATCTAAAAAGTAAAAAGCCTAGTCAAACATTTAAAAACTAAAGAATCACAATTGACATCAGAAGCATTTACTTACTGCCAGGCTCTAAAGAGCCAACCGTTTCCATTTTTCCAAGCATTTAAGTATGTTTTCTGCATCTACACTGGTTGATCTGAACACTTGCTGTCTAGTAAAAATTTACTTTCTTGGTAACAGAGAGATGTGCTGTAGAACGGCACATTCTGCTGAAGGACAGAAACTTCAGCTCTTTAAAATACAATTTTCACACAAATCCTGAGCTGGAGATTACTTATACAAGATCCCACCAGAATTTATCCAGGGAAGACAGTTCACTTGGTAGCTGCTGTTCATGCAGACTGTTTTTTTTCTGCAATTCCAGTTTCACTACTTTTTCATCACTTATTTCTAAGCTACACCTACGCAGCAGTTTCCTTTTCCTGTTTTTCTTCCAGATGTACTATTAATTCAGAAGTAAATCTACACATCAAAATACGTCCATGCATGTATTACCATGCCCTGGACCTGTACTTACACACAGTAAAGAATTACAAAAGCCAAGTGGCCTCTTCTTCTCTGCCCAATTAACAAGCAATGCTCAGACCCAAAAGAATCCCAGTTCTGGGGTGGCCATATTATTTTGCTGACTCTGCTGCCATCTGCACCTCCTCCCAGTTTCGTTTCATTTGCACAAATGTCTGTTTTTCTGTACACATCCATCAAGTCCCTGCACTTTGCCACAGTCTTAGTATTAAGCGCATTGCAAAAAAAGGAAGCAGTTACTCAGCAGCAGACCTTCAAAGTACTCACTCACGTGAATAAGCTCCAGGACTGAGACTCACTGAGAAAATCCAGCCCAAGTCTTCCCTCACATCGAGACTGATGATACCACAGAGAGCACCACGACCCCAGTACTACTCTGAAAGAATCGAAGAGTCAAGAGCCATACCGGCTTTGTCTGGTGCACCGTGAACAAGTCAGGACAGACACTGCTGCTTGGGGAAACTCTTTTGGCCCTTCATTATTGCAACAGCTTTTTAAATGAGCAGCCTTCCTTCCCCAGTCACCTCAAATCCTTTGCTGAAGGCCACCCCTGTGCCTACTAGACATCCATCCCAGCAGGGTCTGAGAGCAAAAGCGCTGAGCTCTGCTTCCTCTCTCGGAGCTGTAGCACAAAGTACAGAGGCTGCTATCAGTGCCACGCAGGATCCGGCTGTCACACACGGCGCACGTGAGGAAACGGGGGCACGCACAGCCCTACAGGGGCTGCACCTTTCCTCCTCCTCCTCTGCACCCTAAGTCTGGTTCTCTCCCGTTCCTTAGACTGAGCTCCTGCGACAACCCCGAGTCAACTTTAAGATTCACATAAGAGACTCAAAGAGCAAATAGATTTGCTGTTTGCACTGTTAAAAGAAAACTCCAAGTTCCCATAACGCATGCCAGCTGCATAACGCGAGGAACATCTAACAGCCCCTGCTGTTAGGCGCCAAAAGGGAAGGCACGTTCCCCCCCACCCCTACCGCAGCAC